CCGCTGCTTTAACCGGTCAGGTTTCACAACCATAAGGTAGAGTCCAACGTACTGCTGCATTGTACACTCTACCCTTCAGGGCAAGAGTGATGTCGCGCCGGCGCCATAGGTGGCGAAAGTAAGCAAAAGCGCCCCGAGCTTTTGCTATACGATTGGTGAGTTCATCTTCAACCCACGGGCACTGATACAACCTCCCAGGTAGTTGAATTTTTGAACGACTTCTAGCTGGTCCCCACCATGGGTCAGTGTAGGAGGCGGTCCAGACCAAGCTTGGAGGAACGATTTGCACTTCGAGGGTGCAAAGCAAAGCCCAGAGTGACGGACAGCTAGCGCTAATCTGTCCAGCGCCGCTTGGCACGTCTGGGAGCTGTCACAGATTAGGGCAATATCATCAGCATACTCTAAGTCAAGAAGTCGTTCTCCTGGGAGTAGCTCCACGCCTTCTAAGCCGTGTCCTGTGATCGCAATTTCCATGACTTCGTCAACAGTGAATTTGAAGAGGAAAGGTGACAGCGGGCATCTTTGTCTCAACCTGCTAGAGGTATTAAAGGGCGACGTCAACTTGCCGTAAGCCTTCACTCTGCCCGAGCTACGCGCATATAATGCTTGGTTAATATTCACATATTTCTCAGGTACACCTTTCCTGAGTAGACCGTCCCAAAGTGCATGTCTATCCACCGGACCGAATACACCTTTGATATCTAGGAACACGACAACGGTGGGCAGCCAATATGTGTGACGGTGCTCCAACAACTGACGCAAGGTGAAGATGTGGTCGATGCAGCCACGACCTCGACGAAATCGGCTTGCACTTCACGAATATGGCTTTCACGCGTGCCAGTCAGTCTGTGAAGGATGACAGAGGCAAGCAATTTGAGGCGATGGAGATCAGACTGATTCCTTTATGGCTGCCGCATTCCGATTGTGAGCCTCCTTTGAAAATTGGGCCTATGATGGGGCGGCTCCAATCGGTTGGGACCTTTTCCTGCTCCCACAGTTTGACTAGTAACTCGTGTAAATCATTCACAAGAGCAGGTCCCCCGAATTTGAAGACGGCTGGAGGAAGACCATCTGGTCCCGCGGCTTTATTTATCTTTAACAATCCGATCTTATGTTCGACTTCCGAGCGAGAGTGTTGATCCAAAGGAAGAGCCCACGGAGCAGGGCAATCACTGGTCGGCAAGAAATCCTCAATTCCGTCCTACTAAATTGCCTTTCTAAGTGCTCAACCCAACGTTCCAAGCGTTTTAATAACTTGCGGATAGGCTGTCCACTCACGCCACGTATAGTTTCACTAACAGCAGGTCTCCTGCTACCCGTTTCCCGTATCATACGGAATAATATACGATAGTTACCAAGGGCAGCTGACATTTCCATCTATGTTGCACAATGAGACCACCAGGATTCGCGGTCTCTCTTCCGGCTAGCACGGAGTTTCGCCCGGAGCTCTTTGCGAGTTTCATTGTGTTCGCTTGCAGCCGGAATATGCCGGCTAGCATCTATAAGTTCCCGAGACTGTGAAGAGACCGAATGTCCAAGTTAACGATTAGACAAACCACATGAGGATTTTTCTGCTGCTAGTAAGGTCTGGTGAATATGAGACCAGTAACCTTCAATTGCATCCAGTGAACCTTTATCCAACTCGCATGGCAGCGTACTCTGATAAGCATTCAGAGCAGCTGGCTTCGCAAGTTGGCCGGTGTCATTGCGCTCACAACATCGTCGGGGGCGTCCGCCAAAGCACATCTGCAAGTCAGGACATACAAGTGCATGGTCGGTGTCAACACCTGTGCTCCAAATCGAGCGACAGTTCTGGACGCAGCCTCTCCATCGGTAACTTATAGCAATGTGACCCATTTGCGTCCATAGTTGGTTCTAGGCTGGTGGGCGCCAAGTCACCCTCCGGCGGGTGCTGTGTAGGAAATTAGTGCTCGCAAGAAATAAGCGAGCATCCTCACACAAATGAAGTAACCGCTCACCGTTATCATTACGGGAGCTATACCATTTTAGCCCCTCAGGTGCAGCTCAGCTGTGGATAATTTTCCAACTTAAGCGTTCAGATCCCCGGCCAGCGATACAAATTCCGAGCTTCTTCTGTGGCTAAGGAGCTGGGTCAGTTGACGATAGAAGTCGTCTTTTACCGGGTCATCGCTACAGTTCGTCGGTGTGTTGGCAGCGATAACGAATAGACACCTGTTAGTCCCACGCGACTTCGAAACTTTGAACAAGCCAGCCAATCGGACCGCACACACCCGGCTACTGATTGTAGTCCAAGCAAACAGAGCAGCTTCTGCTCGGGAACCCAATGCAATGCCAACACAGGCTTGGCCAGTGCTCGAAGCTGCATCTTCACCGGATAGGCGCAATAAGAAAGTGCTGCTAATGTCACCTAAAGGGAATCGCAGAGTGAGTACAGAGCTCGAGTCTTGCAGGCGGGTCTCCGATAAGCAGCATATATCGATGGAGTGGGTCTCTAACTTTCGGGCAAGTGCTGCCTGTTGACCGATCTGAAGCAATGTGCAAACATTGACGCATGCCAGTCTGAAGGAGGATCGAGGGCTCCAAATGGAAGCCGATGAACTGGGATGGGCCGCTTGCTTAGACATGCGCCTGTTGACAGCGCAGGAATGAAGCTCCGCGTTCTCATGTGAGTTGAAGCTAAAAGGCAAGTGACTGTTGAAGCAAGGTGGGGGAGGGCCGAGAATTAAGGGTTGAAAACAGGGGGGCTAAAAGTAAAGCTGGAACGGGACGATAAGGGTGAAAAAGCGCAAGAAGGGTAATAAGAAGATGGGAAGGCTTGAGCTGTAGCATCTAACCGCCCATCCACCCTGCCCGATGCAGCAGATAGGGCACCGTTGATTATCCTCTGCGGTGGCCAGAGCATCAGAAATTTGTTTGAAGTGGGTTTCGGAGTAGTGCGTGGGCAGGATACTGTCAAGTTGCCCAGGCCTAGGCAGGAGAACGATTAGGGTTCTCAACCAAAGCCTTTGGTACAATAAACTGTCCGCATGGCAGCGGGTTATGCATTGGGCTACAAGGAGTCCGTTTTAAGGAATAAGGAGCCACCCTCATACCAACCCCCAACCTGGAGGACCAGGAGGCTGAGTTTGTCTGGCCTCTAACCATTGACCAATCTGGTATGAGTGGCTCTGAAGGTGAAAAAGCACCACCCAGTATAGCTCAATGGGTCACTGAGGCACACAAACCTCGGCACCACGGTAAGTTCCAGCCTCATTGCAATGGGCATTATGCTATAATGTGCAACAACGCACTATTCTGATAATGCACAAGTCATGCCTCTCTTTATCAAGAATAAATATGCATTTGTTTAAACGAAAACGTAAGGTAAGGCTGCGTGCAAGTTTAAAGAAAAACATAAGATAATTAGATAGAGCGTTTGTGGGCACTAGTATATACACGACAAATTCGTTGCATCGCGCAAGATGATCCAATAGTCCTTGTTTCGCAGGAGTAGAGTGTTGTTTTAGACGAAGAAACCAAACGGAAGTGGTTGGTCTGGATACCCGATTTTAACAAAGTGGACAATCGGGTTATGCTAAAGTTATGTAAAGACAAGCAGATGCGCAGCTAAGACGCTGCGGCGCGTTACTCTAGCTTGTTAAGTGTGGAGGGCTATTCCACACTGAGTAAAGGAAGCTTGGGGTAAGGCTTTACGTCTAGTTACAGCAGATGTTAAAAGTGCATGAAGTATCACGTACATCAATATGAACACCTGAGTGGCAATGGCATTAAGTTGCGCAAATTGATTTTGCTGACCTGCCTGCTGAAGAACATAGTGCGATTTCAGACCGAGTAATGGCACTCAAACGGTGCATTTGGCTGGGAAATTATTGTAACCAGCAGCGTTCAGACTGCAACAACAGATAATCTTACGGGTGCCGAGTGGCAACAGTATCAAATAGGTGGCGAGAAGCTGAAAGCGTTGCTGGGTCGGATTATCGTGTACATTGCGATACCACAAGCCGAATGGCACTCGGTTAGTATGCTAAAAGAGGTGAGACCGATGCTAAGTGACGCATTGGGGCTTAACGGTCACAGTAGTGTCAAGCAGCTGGACGTAAGTAACAAGTGGATCATGTTTAGAACATAAATGAACAGAAGTTGATTCTCGATAGATGCGAGGTATGCTAACTAATGCATAGCGTAAGATGATGGCACTAAAGAAAGCATCAGCCACAATGCAACTGGTTAAGAATAAGGTTTAATTTTTGCACCGGAACCGCAGCAACATTTGGAACTAAGTATTCGGCACGGAGGCGTGGTCGGCCGTCCGCATAAGACCTTCCGTTTTGGCGGCGTTTTCTGGAAATGGTTGATTCATAGAAAAGTAAACACTGGAAAGATTGAGGTAAAAAGCAGGATAATAATTAGAGCGGGATTGGAAGCAAAGTCGTTTGGAATATTGATTGCGGCGCTTGTCAATGATTGCCAAGGCATCCGTGAATGATGGGATTCGCACAGTTGTTTGTAATTGCTTCCATGGTGCACGTACTTGACATGTAAACACTTTATGTCCAGCTACCTACACTTGCTTTCGGTTGGAAAGGTGGTGAGTGCCGGTAAATGCCCAAACAAGCTGCAGCCTTGGCATTTTCGTAGTTGTATGTCCGTTCAGGTGCGTGAACCACAGACAAAGTGGCACATTGCAGCAAAGTTCTAATCGGGTACATCCACCCCATTCAGGCGGTAGGACAATGCGTTTTCAACTCCCCTCCCTAATACCAATTCATAAATCTTAATACCTTACCAAAACCCACCCCCCCCTACCAAAACCCACCCCCCAAAACCCCCCAAACCCCCCCTCCTAACCAACAAATCAAAATCCCCCTTCCCCCCTCCCCCAATAATCCCCAAAACAACTCTATCCCCATCTTTACATACCTAATAACTAAAATACCTCCCCTCCCCACTCAATTTCCACTCCCCCACTCTCTTTATTCTCCACACCCACCCACATCCCTTATACAACTCCCTTTACCTTACTTTTCCACACTAATCATATGCTCCTCTCTCAACGTATTCCCCCCAACCACTCTCCCCTCCCCCCCCCCCACACCTACCCCCCCCCCCCCCCCCCCCCCACCTCCGCAGCACCCCTCCCACACCCACAGTCCAATGTCCACATCCATCACCCCGGATCCACCCCATCCAACCCCACCACCTCCACCCCCCCAATCCCGTCCCCACACTATATACGGCCCCCCCCCCCCCTAGCATGAAGCAAGTAAGTCTGCTGAGCTTGTTGGAAGAAAATAGTTAAGGCAGGTAGATAGGTAGATCATCAGGAGAGCGGCGGGACTCAAGCATAAATTCCTCGTATAAATAACGATATTTAAGCAGCGGATTTATAAGACATAGCGTTGCAGCGCACCGAGTGGTGAGTCGTCACAGAATCATGACGTGTAGGAGCTAGGGCACCCCGGGTAATACAAAACGTGTTATGGAGTTAAAATCAGGTATGTATCAATAATAGAGCAACTTTGTGGCATTTTGTAATTAAGCATAATGATATATAAAAGTAAAACGCTGCGACGCGCGGTGAACTAAATCGTCCTAGGCTCCTAGGATTTGAGCGCTGGGACGCAGCGAGTGATGGAAAAGCCTGTAAAACAGCCGAAAGCCAATACTTACCAACGGTACATAGACTGTGTGGCGAGTGTGGTATGCAACACACGACATCGCTGGGTTATCGACATATCCTAGGACAAAACATGTTTACCCTAAACGCTTGAAAACTAAAGCCGTGAGGCATGTCTGACTCCAGCTTCTCTCGCTCTACTAGCGCTAATATCCCTTTTTCCTACCTGCATTTTTGCTCCTAATTATTTTGAGAGACGGGACTTAAGCTCACAGCCTAAGCATATATCTGAAAATGGCACTAAGCCCATCCTTATTCTTTCCATCTTTCAAGCTCCTGGCATGGATGCATCACATACCGTGGATGAGTTGCTGCATAAAGCTGTGTCCCTGTCGGTATTAACTAGTTACCAGAAGTCTTAACCAAAGTGGCATTGCTGGACAGTGGTACGCTCTGTACTAGCGCCAAAGTTTTACCACGTCTTACATTTCGTACTCTTATCTAGTTAAAAGAAGTCAACGTATACTCTCCGCAGCTCTACGCATATCCTGAACAGGCTAAGAGCAACTTCTTTTCTCCAAACGTTTAGTTCCTCGGATTGTCTGCATAAGTCACCTTCTCTGGTTTGTCGACTAATTCGTTGACTAAGTACGTATCCTTTGTTGCTAGAAGCGTTAATCCATGTAGCGTTGCTAGCCAGCGTTTCTTCCTTTACCAGCGCCATTATCACGCTGGTCTTTCCATCTATAATCATGTTTAGCTAATCGAGTCGACGTAGGCTCCACGCAGCCCTGCAAATATTCCGAACTTGTTGGAACCACACTGCTCTCCACCCTTTAGTCCCTTGGATTGCCAACATCAGTTACTTGCTCTGGTTTGTTGACTAATTCTGCAACTCTCTAGTATGCACTAATGACTGACTGGATTACTAAGAAATGAAGTACTGCTGGCCTCCTTCACTTTCATTACAAGAGCCAATGTCCGTCGGTTTCTTGCCTTCTGTGCGTTTGCTTACCAAAAATGAGGGTATTTAGGCATCAAGCAAATATCTAAAGCCTTCAATGTGTCCTTCCTTTATTCTCCAACTTTTTATGTGCTGGAGCGTATGCTTTACTTATATGACTGTAATGCCTAGGCGCATTGAACTTACCAGATCCATATACTACATTTTACGCTATAATTGTCATTTAACCGTATTTGTATCACACACTCATTGCACACGTTTGCTGCAAGTGAAAAGCACTTCAGCTCTTGTGGTGGAACAGAAAAGCAACGAAAAGGGGACGTAAATCAAGCAGTCGGCCGAGTCACCAGTAACGGATGGACATTGTTCTGGAGAGTTAACGGCAGGCTATCGTGCAGCAAATAGTCGTATTAATCCCAATCATTGAGATCTTGGTTGGATAGAAGACTGAGCGGTAAGGGGTGGGACAAAGAAACGCACAATCCAAACAACACTGAGGTCAATGCCCAGCGATGCCAACAAGTGTATCCAACCAAAAGTGTTCCTCTTCATTCGCTCCCAAGCAGAGAGCCGAGACTCCAACCGAGGCGAAGTTCGCAGTAAGTGCCTTCATTCCTCTAGACTTTCTGCAGTTGGTTACTTCCCCTCTTCTTCCATCCATAACCTTAACAAACAAACCAATTACGTCCCGGTAGTCGGTGGGCTGTAATGCGCAGCACTTAACCCAGCCATCGGAGCCTGGTGCGCAAAATAACCCTCTGTATTTAAATATCTGGAGAGGTTTCTTGCTGGAAGAAAGCTAAGGTAGGTTACGCATTTAAAAGACAGGGAACTAGCATAAATGATGTATACTTACCAATCTGTATAAAAATAGCTATATATGTTATTATCGAATTCATCAGTGCGCATTATATGAGGCATGATCAAAATTTTACAATAACTTATTAGCAGCAAGCGCGTTGCGTTGCAAGCCATTGGAAGATGACTAACGGCTGGCTATCCAAACAACCATCTCGTGGTGCTAGCTGGGTGGTTGAAGTGTAACCCATTCCAGAAAATAGTTTGACGGCATTAATCCTGGACGTGGTAAGTATTTGCCTAGCAAGCGTTCCATATAAAAAGCCACAAGTGCTTATTTAGCAAAACCGTGAGTTGGTGAATGTAACTCGCCACAAACTATAGTCACTGCCTTGTGGATATCTGGATACCTTCATCCAATCTACGGAGATCAATCGTCTTTTCTTGCATACCTGACGCTGGCACAGTCTCAAAGACCGCGGCAAAGTTACAAAGGCATCTTACAAGACAACAAATATACACAGTTATACACACTTCCATGCACTTCTCCACCGTGCTGCCAAGCAGGTTGTATGCTTATACATTGTTGTTTACGCTTTGGTAGCATATGATCATGCCTGTAGGGTCTAAATCCCGTTTCTGAGACGGAACTTTCTTCTATTTTCTTCTATTTTTATTATCATTATGCTATTTTATTCTTTAGTATTAGTATTTATATTTTTATATGTTGTTTATTTTTATTTATTGTATTATTAGGTATATATATATATCTTATATATATTATGCCATTTTATTTTTTAAAGGTTGCAGAAGGCAGAGACTTAATGGTGAATAGCAAATTCGTTCGCTGTGAAGACAGTGTATGTGCAAAGGTATGCAGTGTAGAGATGAACAAAAAACCGTAGAAAGTGATGTGGTGCTGTATGGTGCGTGTAGAGAACTTGCATTTTATGTATAAAGAGTAAAACGCAGCCCTATTCAAGCTGCTAGGGTGAAACCGTAGGCCGTGACTGTATACCTTGACAAGTCACTTCAGCTACGTTTCAGTGTTATTAGACGGACTTTTGTGACGTTTAATTGACGAACGTTTGCCAATGGAAAACGCACCTCGTCCTAAGGCACTGCCGTCTATCCATTTGAAAAGTATTGTGTACCGCGATGCATCCTACCAATAAAATTTACATTCGGCTATTCGCAGTCGAGTGGTCACCGGCTATTGTTTGTTGGCGGACGGAACGGCGTAGTCAGAGTGTAGCATATCACTAAGTGTTTGGTTGCCGACCAACACATTGTCTTTTTCTGTTTTTGAGCAACTAGCACACAAATTCCGAAGCGACCCTTTACGGCAACAGAAGACCGAGAATTTCACGGACAGCTAGCGTTGTTAGACTCATGCCTTCATCCCCCGGTTCCCCTGACTTGCCCTTAACCGTACTCGGACTACTGGCTTTCCCCCGAGCGCGACTGTTATTCTTTCTTCTCGTGTGCGAAGACGTGCGTTCCAGCTGCTTCTGTTGCTGTTATTTTCTTCTTAATTGTTTCTTCTTCCCATCAGCGCCGTGAAACAATACTTCTATTGGTTATTGGTTCTTACTTGCTTGTGAACCCACGCTTCCGCTTTAACTTCTACCACATATTCGGCGACCCTGCCAGAGGCGGCAATAAGAATTAGCGCTTTCCGCGTAAAACAAAACCTATGCCGAAAGTTGATGTCCAGAGCAGCATTGAATGCTCCTGAATCCACAGTCAGCGCGTCTACTGTATTTGGATGAATGGTAACCGCCCACTTGGGATTGCTGCACACTTATTTATGGTGGTCAGGTAGGGGTACAAACACCACCCCAAGCGTTTCCTCCCGAGAAGCGTTTCATTAGGGTTAAGTATGTGCGATGAAAACGACCAGCACGGTGTCACTTTGGCAGGTTTTCCGAAACTGAAAGGGCCGCTGCACTTCCGAGTCTCCTAAACAACGATGCTTATCATATTGCATCTTCGACGTATATAATTAGGGATGTGGATGGAACAACATTTACGCAATTAAAGGAAGCCCTGCAAGTGCCCCTTTGTGAGTAGGGATGCCGTCGACATTTTTGCACTAGCGTTCAAGGACACGGGAAACAACTCACTCTATTTGTTGCTGCGCTGCGCACCTTGCCATGCTGGATTACCAAAATGCCGACAAGGCCAGTCGTGAGAAGAAGAGCTTTCACCAGGCTCTTAAAAGCACGACTAACATTGACCTCAAGAAGGATTTCCTAGAGAAGCCACCTGCCACTTTGTAGCAAGCTGTAGACACCGCCACTCGCCGAGAGAAATTGCTTGCTGTGGTCGCTCGAGACGGACCACGACGGGTATCGGATTACGCTGAATTGGTATCGGTTGTTCGGCCTGGTTATCCACAATGGCGAGGCCAACGCAATTGTCTGGTTATTGGTCAATTCAGTGGAACAACATTCCTCACTTTACCAAAGAATCGCCTATAAGGCCTAGAATGGATTGCCCCTACAGCCGCAGATTCGGAAGATTTGCCTACAATGGCAGGCGTATTAGACTAAGTGAGTCACGATGTTCATTTATGGTTCCTGCTGTTACCTACGCTAATGCCATCTCAACTACTGTTGTGTCAGGTTTGTGTGGTCTAAGCGTGTTGGTATGCCAATTGACACTAAAGCTACATCTTTTCTGGTCTATATACGTATGGTACCAAAAGGAACCTCTATACATACCGACAGATCTGTCAATCTGGTGGCGGCCAATGGTTCTTCCGTTAATTCATTAGGTTGAACTACTGCTACTGGATCGCTAGGCGGCATTTCTACCAGTTAGAGCTTGATCATAGTAGATACACTACCATGGGATATGATACTTTGGGCCGACTTTCTTTTGGAGCGCGATGAGAGAATCTACCACACCAACAAAACACTTGAAATCGGGGAGCAGATAAGGTCGTTTGGTTGGATTATCGCTTGTAAGTCATCATATGTGGTAGAAGAAACCCACGTGCAAGACTTATTTGCAACGTTCCTGCGGACATCCCATGCTCAGCCCTCTAATAATTAAAGGAAATTCTGAACAATTATTAACAAGCTTCTGCGTGGACAGATGGCCATCCCGGTTGGTGCAGTTTTGTGCAACAGCGCATTGATATGGGCCTTGCGCACCCTATTCGCCAAGCGGCCAGACGCGTGCCAGTGCACCTTCAGGAAGTGGTGAAATGTTTAATCGAAGATATGCTTACACGGGATATTATGCGACCGTCCAAGTCCCCTTGAGCCTCTCCCATAATTTTGGTGAAGGGAACAGTAGCGACTTACGCTTGGCTGTCGACTACCCGAAATTAAACGCTAGCGCGTGGAAAGATTCGGTCCGTTTGCTCCGAATAGACGACCTCATGGATGCTCTCACAGCTTCG